GCCCACAACAGCGCCCTGGTGGGTGCCCGCCGAGCCCTGCGCTCAGGCTGGGCGCCCGAGGCCGGACCGGGGGCGCAACACGGTGCCTTCAGCGACCGCACGGTGCTGGACGCTCAGTAAAGGCCGCTCGTGTGAGAGGACTGGTCGTGATCACTTGGGCGCCGCAGACCCCGGTCAGATGCCCCCTCCACCCTGAGCCAGAGCCTCTTTGCGCCTGGAGACCCTAAGCTGAACTCACCCGAGCCTGGACCTCGTGACCATGGTCTCTAGTGGACACTGCAGGCCCCCGAACTTCCCAAGTGACCCGAAAGCAGGGTTTGTGGCAAAGCCAGGCGCCCACCAGGCGGCCTGGTGGGGGGTCAGTCAGTGCAGCTGGCTGCACCCCCCAGCCAAGCCCACGGGGTCTGCGCAGGGCCACGGCCTCCCCCTGCTGCCCACAAGTGCCGCCCTGGACCCTTAGCGCCCAGACCGGCCTCCCCCAGGCCCCGCACACTGCAGGACGCCACCAGGGTCTGCCCGGGCCTGGCGGGGGAGGCCGGGCAGCAGGCTGGCTCAGAGCGGGGCCCCCGGGCCCTGACCCGACCTGGGGCCTGCTGAGCCCATGGTTCTGGGGCTGCGGCGGCGGCGGGCAGCTCCGAAGGGGAGGGGACGTGCCTGGCCCCTGGGCTCTGCTCACACAGTGGGGGTGGGGCAGCACGGGGTCTCTGCCGGGCATCTCCGGTAACGTGAGTCTCGGGGTGCGGGGAGCCCGCTAGAGAACGCAGGGCTGGACTCACTGCCCCGCCCGCGACCCGTGGCCAGCCTGGCGCCAAGCAGTACTCTCGCTCCGGACCAGCAGGCCGGGGGTGAGGAGCCCGCGCTCGGGCCCTGTGCGAGGCCTGGGGTGTCGCAGGCCGGGAGGAGACATCTAACCAGCGGGGGGTCGGACGGTCAGGACAGGCTCTGGGGCGCAGCCAGCACCGTGCGGGCTCATCCTGACCTCGGAGGGGAGGGTGACCACGCCGGCGGGGCGGCTGCCCTCCCGGGCAGTGCCCAGGAGCCCGCACCCCAGCCAGGCCCACCCCCCGTCTCCGGGAGACTGCCCGGGTCCGGAAACCCTGCTGAGGCGGGGAGGCCGGTGCTCCGCAGAGGACGGACGGACGCGCCGTGGGGTGGCCGGCCGCAGGGGCTGAGCTTGCCAGACTCTCATCCGGGGGGGCGACTTTATTTCCAGAGACGGGGCGCATCCGCCAGGCGGGTGCCGGGGCGCCGCTCAGAAGCCGGAGTCCTGGCTCAGGGAGCCGCGGCTGACGTGCTCCAGGCCCCCGGACACGTAGGCGGCCATGCTGACGTGGTAGTGGGCCAGCATCTTGAGCATGAGCCGCAGGCGCAGCCACCACTGCTCCCGGGGCAGGCGGCGCCTGGGGCGGGCGGGGCGCGGTCAGGGGC